ACCAAGCATTTTTTTTTTTTATAGTGTGAGCTCATTGTCCTATCGTCATTTTTAAGCCCTTGTTTGATAGGGATTAAAATCAAATTGTTGGTAGATTTTGATGAAATGATTTTAATTACTTAACAAACACGCTGATAATTGGCAATATTCATGTAATGTTGCAGTCAAAGGGGTATGTTACACCTGTGGTACGTTACACTACAAGGATTTGGAGTCAGAATTTATTTTTATTTTTGAAAATATTGTCATTTTTGTACATGAACTTTTACCACCTTGTTGACAGAAAAATATATTGGCAAAAATTTAAAAGATGAGAAGACAGCTTTTTTAAACTGTCCAACGATGTGTCATTCTCTCGAAAAAACTATCAAATAGAATGTATAGCAAATATGATTATTTTTTTGATGTATGGTGTGAGCACATGGTCATTTACTCATTTTCTAAGCCTCTGTTTGATAGAGATTAAAATTAAATTGATAATAAATTTTGATAAAAGTCAATGAAATATGTGGTTAGACCTAGGGGTGGTTTGGTTTAGATTAGTTCCGACTCCAACACGAAACCAAAACAAAAACCAAATCAACGATATGGGTGAATTTCAACTCAAATCAATCCATTTTAGCTCTGAAATCAAACCAAATCAATTTGGTTCGGGTCGATTAGTTGGTTTGAACTTTTAGTTCAAATTGCGTTCTTTAAAAAAAATAAAATATCCGAGTTTTGCGCCTACTTAATTACAAGAACTAAAATAACTAAGTAACTTTATATTACAAAAACTATTGACTGACAAATAAAATCAAGTTAATATACACAGATCAATAACAAACTTAAGAATTTTGTAGTCTTTTTTATACATTATGTAACCTGGCTGCATGAGTAGGAAAAAACTAAGTGTAATATAATAAGCTTGTGAAAGGAAATTTCCAATGCTATTACTTACTGGCAAGTGGCAACATCATAGATCGGGAGGAACCGAAATATAGTTATGAGATTAAGGCTTTATTTTTCTTAAAATATGATAAACATGTAAGTGGGTTGAGTTAATTCGATTAACCAACAATTTGAGACTTCCTTTATAATGATCATTTTTCTTGCTTATGGATCATGAACAATATTTTACAGCTGGAACTTTGAGGGTGCGTTTGGTTTGCTATTATCTATTTTTAATTTTACAAAACAAAGAAAACATGTTTGATATGCTTTTTGTGAAAACATATTTTCGAAAATAGTGACTTATAATATAAAACTCAAAATATATTTTTATGTTTTTGGTGTAAATTCTAAAAACACTCAAAATATGAAAAATAAAAGTTTAAATAAAATTAATTAAATAAATTTTAAAAATTAAAATATAAAATTCTAACAATTTTTTTAAAAATAAAATTCAAGAAAAATAAATTTAGCCTTTGTTTGGGCTTCATTAAAATCAAATTTTAGGAAAAAATGTAGTTTAGAATAATAATGTTTTAAAGAATACGTGGTTAAAAAAAATTGAATTTACGTATAATATTATTTCATTGGAGAATATGTAGTTGAAAAATAAGAGAGAAAATTGCATTTTAATTAAAATGGAGCCCACACAGAAGCTTAATAGTACTCTGAAATCTACTGTTAGTGAAAGTAACTATCTTACCTACAAAAAAAGCCACTTATTTGAAAGTGGTTGGAGCAAACTTACAGAAAAGCATGCTCGAATCTCTCATTGAATCCAAAGTTCGCCCCCTTTTTTTTTTTTTTTTTTTTTTTTTTTTGGTTAAAAAAAAATTTTGTACCAAAATTTTTTTTTTTTTTTTTAAAAAAATTTTTAAAAAAAAAAAAAAAAAAAAAAAAAAAAAAAAAAAAAAAAAATCATGCTCTAAGTTTTATAAAACTCCTCCAAGTCGATCTTCCTAGCACAGAAGTTGCTTCCAAAAAACATTAAAAAAAAAAAAATTGAAAAAAATGACGGGATTAGTTTTTGTCTACCCCTCTCTTCTAATTTATTTTACTATGATGATCATGTCACTTTTAAGATATGTGTCTGATCTAGATTTACATAAAATAAATTTTAACTACGTAAGTTCATTGTCTTAAGAATAGCTATTGTGATGTAATCTTTCTGTTTATTGTATGCAATATTTTTCTCATAATTCGTCAAATTATGTATATCAACTAAACTATTATATGAATAATGTAATCATGCGACGCAATAAAGAACTAATATAGTCTTATTATTAATAAATTTGGATACAGATCCATAATTCTTTTAAATTTACTGCACAAAGTCATCGTGTCAAAAGTAGGTTACTAGTCTCTCTCCTTTTTTTCCCCGCCTAATTTATTTTATTTGAATATTATCATGTTTTTAATATATTTGGTGAAATCAATAAAACGAAATTGGACTGGTCTTCTCCATATAGGAGTAATTTCTAAAAATCTTTCTTTCATCTTTTACAAAATATGAAACTTCATATACTTTAGAGTTTGCTTGGGAATTTTGGGATATCGGTTATTTGCATTTTTAAAAGAATCAATTTTGAACATTTATGAATGGAGTGATTTTTAGTCATCTGCAATTTTTAAAACAACCAATTCCATGTTTGAGAGTTTATTATGTATTGATTCTAAAATTCATAATTTCTTGTATAAATTTTTTTAAACATAACTAATTTTTTACCTATAAATTAATATTTAACTTAGAAAGTAAAATATATACTTAAATTTTAAGTTAATATTTTTTATTTCTAAGTAAAATTTACCATTTTAAGTTAAATTTTGCACTTTCAAATAATTTTTACACGTAAGTGGATTTTGTACTTTTAAGTGACTTTTTATATTTTATAAGTGAACTTTTGTCTTTTAAATGTATTTTGATTTATAAACAATTTTTTTACACAAAAGTAAGTAATTTTAATTATAATTTGCTTATAAATAATTTTTTACTTAATGTATTTTTATTTAGAAGTTATTTATGAACAAAATATGTTAGTTGGGAATAAGTATTTTATAAAAGGTAAAATTAAAAGAGAATATGATAAACTACCAAAATTATTTTGAGTGGTTTAAAAATCACCAAAAATCGGTGTCAAAAAGAAATAGAGAACACTGGTTTTTACAACCTCTCATAAATGGTGCTACCCTAAATCGGTCAAAATGGATTAAGAAAAAGCAAGCTCTTAAAGTTTATATAGGATGAAAAGAGATTTTTCGACTACCTTATATCTCTATCTTAAAATGTCAATCTTATTAAAAAGAGTAACCTAAATCATTATATATTGGTTTATATTTCAACAATTATACAATATGAAATTTATTTCTTAATATGTCCCCCAAGAAGTAGTCCAATGTTAAAATTCATGCACTCATTTTTAGTCTTAATTGAAATCTAATAGGTCATTTGAGTTTAATGAGATTTGATATCATATTAAAATTTGAGGCTTCACCTTAATATGTCAAATTTGTTAAGAGGAGTAAATCAAATGATTAAATATTAATCTATATTTTGGTAACTATTCGATGTGAAATTTATCCCTTAACACCTTGTACTCATTATGCCTAGCATCTGAAAAACTTGTATTAACATAATCAATATCTCAAATCAATGTATAAGTTTTGTTCGTACCTAAATGAGCACCAAAATTTTAAACTTTCAATCACACATTTTATGAACAGAACCCTGACTATGAATATGATGTTTTGCCCGCTGAATATGTGGATAACACCCTTTGGCACAAAAGTAAACATGCATAAAGGAAATAAATGGAAGACCTCAGCCTTGAAAAGAACAAGGTCTTAATATTATGGTTCTAACTGGTAAGTTATTAAGTTACTTTCGGGGTCGAATTTGCATAAAAATTTAGTTAGTTATATATAATTGTCAATAACCTCCTGTTACAGTACAATAAAAAAAATTTACTTATAATTAAAAATAGCCATTAAAACTATAAAATATAAATTATTTTATTTGTAAACACACACACACACATATAAATATACTTAAGACATCATCCATAACTATATTATCCAAAAGTAAAGCTATATATCCCTACAAAAATATAATGTGATGTTAAATGTTGAGTTAATAAAGTAGGTCTATATCCATATAATTAAAGCATATTTAGTAGGTTTCTTTAATAGTTTGTTTTTTATTTACGACCTGTTTGGTAGGTGTATTTTAATCACTTTGTTTTTTATTTACACATTTGTAAAGCCTACAACTAATATCCATTTATTCACCATTTATTTGTATTTAATTATTATTTAAAATGATTATAATTACTTAACAAACAAGCTGATAGTAGCAAGCAGACTATGTTAGTTGCACAGTTTTTTTTTTTTTTTTTTTTAAATCTTTATTGAAAGATGATGAGGTGGGGCCCGTGATTAATTTGTCAACAAAGATGTAAATAATTTTATTACTAGTGGATTAATTGTTAGCTATATTCATGAAATCTTACATGTGAGTTTCTAGTCCAAGGGGTACGTTACATTGGAAGCTACGTGACAGTGACAAGAATTGGATTCTAAGAAATTTTTCTTTGATGCGGTCAATCCTATCCTCATTTTTTTAATGTACCATGTGAAGATCATCACAATCTGAACTTTGGGTATTGATTTTGGAGGCTTCCAACTTTTTTGTGTATAAAAACCCGAATTTGCAAACCTTTATATGCAATGAATTGCACCAATTTCCAAATGTCATTCACCATGTTCTTCCTCACGTCTGCTTTCCTCCTTTCTTGCATGTTCATCTTTTTAAGTATCAATGGGAAAATTTCAAGCAAAAGCAATAAACCACCACTTCCACCTAGTCCATTTTCCTGGCCTATAGTCGGAAACCTTCCTGAAGTGTACACAAACAAGCCTGTATTCAAATGGGTAGAGGGGGTAATGGAAAAACTGAAAACAAGTATAGCCTGCATCCGTCTGGGCAGAGTTCATGTAATAGTGGTAGTTTCACCAGAACTCCCATAGAATTTCTGCATAAACATGATTCTATTTTTGTGTCAAGACCTATAACCATGGCTACTGAACATGCAACCCGGGGATTCTTGGCAACGGGACTTTCTTCATGGGGAGAACAGTGGAAGAAAATGAGAAGGCTTGTTACCCATGAGTTGTTTAGCCCGACCAGACTTCGGTGGCTACTTAACAAGAGGAACGAAGAAACTGATTATCTTGTTTACTATATATTCAAACGGTGCAATAATCCAGATGGATCAGTTATTAATTTGAGATTACCACTCACACATTATGGACCAAATGTAACCAATAAGACGACTTTTAGCAGAAGATTTTTTGGGGAAGGTGAAGAAAATGGAGGTCCAGGTTTTGAAGAAAAGCAACACATTCAAGCTCTTTATACCGTGCTCAAACACACGTTTGCATTTTGCATATCAGATTACATACCCTGGTTGAGAGGTCTAGATATTGATGGCCATGAAAAGAATGTAAGAAGCTCCATGAACATTTTTGACAAATACCATGATCCGATCATAGAAGACAGAATCAAACAATGGGAAGATGGTAAGAGAAAGGAGGTAGAGGACCTTCTTGACATTATGATAACGCTTAAGGATGAAAGTGGGAAGCCACTTCTGTCCTTAGATGAGATCAAAGCTCAAATCAGTGTAAGATCATTTCTGTTGCTTCTATATTTGTAACATGGCAACACGTACTTAATTTAATATAATTTTGTTATCTACGAGTTCTTTTTCGGAGTAGATGGTCCTGCGGCAGGAGCAGAATGGGCACTGGCAGAAACAATTAATCAACCTGAGATTCTCCAAAAGGCCATCGAGGAAATAGACAGGGTTGTAGGGAAAGACAGATGGATTCAAGAATCAGATGTTCACCAATTAAATTATTTGAAGGCCTGTGCAAGAGAAGCTTTTAGGCTCCATCCTCACGTTCCGTTTAATTTGCCGCACCTCTCATTAGAAGACATCGAAGTGGGTAGCTATTTCATTCCGAAAGGCAGCCATGTCTTGTTGAGCTGCACCGGACTGGGTCGCAACCCTGAGACCTAGGAAGAACCCTTGAAATACAATCCAGAGCGCCATTTGGGTGGAAATGTTAGTAAAGTAGATTTGTCATAACCTAAGTTGAGGTTCATAAGTTTTTCTACTGGAAAGCGTTCGTGTACAGGCCTGAGTCTTGGTACACTTTTGGCTATAATGGCATTGGGAAGGCTGATTCAAGGGTTCACATGGAGCGTACCACCCAGTGAGGAGAAGATTGATCTCTTTACGTTGGAAGAACTGACTCTAGCTAAACCTTTGCATGCACACGCGAGGCCTCGCATGGATGAGGCAACGTACCCTGTGGCACCACCTTGATATGTATCAATCCAACCTGTGTCAGTTGGAGATAATAGATATATTTCATAAGTGTGTGCACTGTTGCATGTAATACTTAAGTACTGCTGTAATATCTGAGTACTTCGTGGTTGAATAAAATTGGTATTTCAATATTTCAATAATGCGCGTGGTCTTGTTGCATTTTCTATTTATATTAAATTTGCTGAATTACAAGATTCCGGTGGATCATCCAATATCATGATGCGCTCGGTGCATCACATTGTAAGAAACAAGTAAAGCTTGTCTTGAGAAATCTTTTGAAAACCAAGTCACACTGTAGTAGTTTTCACATGAAAAATTAAGCCTCTGATTTGTGTATCATTTTATCTTGCTAAAATCTACTTTTCAAAAAATGAGTAATTGATAAGTGAATAATGCTTGTGAATTAGACGAGTGTGATGTTAAAAATGTTTGATTTGAAAATTAATGTTTTAGGAGAAAAAAATGAAACACAAACGAAAGCTAACAATTCAAACATAGAATTCATCGTTTATAAACACTTAATTTTTATTTAATTACTTACCAAGTATGGTAATTTATTATTGCTGTAGATAATCAACTTTAGTTGTTCTCTAGAAAGAATCAATTGGAAGAACGATCGATTAAGCGTTCACTTTTATTTTAGAATTATTTATACTTTAAAATCAACATTTGAACATTTGATAAAGTTCTTTATCGTTGTGCCTATATACATATAATAAAATATATTTCTATTAAGTTCATATTTTGTACATATTTTTTTGAAATTCATTTTTTGCTGAACTCATTTTCAACCATATATTTTTCCAATAAAATAACTTGCCATGTGGACTCAAAAATTTTTCTACATTTTAATCATACATTCTAAAAAAACACTTTTTATAAAATCTATTAAACAAAAATTCACGTTAAACATGCCCCAATATTCATTGATACTATTATACAAACTATTTTACTTTTATAACAAAATGTAATATTACTAACACCTTTAAACATCTTTCATCGACTTTTTATCAAAGTTGACATAAAAACTGATTTTATCAAAACAACCAGGGTTATGCGTCTCAAGAAGACAAAAATAAGGAATTATGGGTTATGATTCAGCACATTGCGTAGACACGTAAGGTATGGAGTCAAAAACTTATTCATGGTTGTCGACTCCTATGCGTGTCGGCACATCCAACATGGTAGAACAAAGCTTCTAGACCTTGAAAATATATAAAGACTCAATTAGTGTATACATGACTTTACAAATTAAATACGAAAGACCATGTTTTCAAAAGAGAGAGCAATCCCATAAAATATTTGTAGAATCATGTTGCAGTATGTGTTGTTAGTGTTTATAACATGAGTCGTGCTGGCTGTACAGGCTTGTGAAACAGGTCCTGTATAGGCCACACACAATTGAGGTGGGTGGAGCAGGGGTGGTTGATTATTTAAAAAAAAAAAAAATTCATCCACCCCTCCTTACATGTGTCTGGCGTGTAGTAGGCCAACGTTTGTCTTATAACATATTTCCTCTTTCAAGGAATTAGCATAAATGTCTCTACGTTATCAGTTGTCAAAAAATTTGTACTTTCTGAAAAGTTGCTCAAAAATGTATTTTTTTGTGTGCAAAATGTCCACAATATCCTTGTAATTACCTTTTTGGGTGCATTTAATACTAATTAAAGCATGCATTTAATGCTAGTTAATGCTTTGATTTGATATTTGACATGTGTAAGAAAATCCTATGTGTGATTGTAATATACACTGTGTAATAGATTTGTTAACCATTTAAAAAAAAAAAATACTCCATAACCTTTTACTATGCTGATGAGGGATATTCTTCGTTGTAAACACAAGAATGAAGTAATTTCCTATTCATCTTCAAGTTTGAGAGATTAGAATTTATAAATTGTGTAATGTTTTATCTTATAACTTATTATTATGGTATTGTTAAATTCATCATGCTCATATTTATTTGCAAATTTTTATTCATACATTTGAATTGCTTTTACAAATATCTTAGAATGACAATATTCCCCGTAACTTTTTGTTGGGATTCCCGATTTAATGAAACATTGTATACGTTGTTTGTAAAGATTTTATCAATTGGTAGTTAAGCATTAATGAAAACATTTAATAATTGTAATCCAATCACATACATTAATTGATTCCCGTCAGTTGCCAACCGTCTAGTCAATTGTCGGACTAGACTGTGAAGATTGACTGTTCGTAAATGTCGATAAAGATAATTCAATTGTCAATATCACCGGTTTGCTACTATTTTCTAATATCTATTCATAGTTTTCACTGTGTGCTATTAAAATTTGATACATTAATTTGTCGAATGCTTATAATTGGTATCTGAAATTTTTAGGTATGAGCAGTAATCTAGGATTCATCGTCTCACACGAAAAACAATTTTTCCACGTAGATGACGAATAGAAGTAGTGAGGAAACAACAAGACCACTTCAATCGTAGTTCCAAGTAACATCACCTTACCAGCACTTGTCCGACGATTGATGGAGAAACAACTCTTTGTGCTAGTTTTCCGCAAACTGAGAATCTAACAATTGTGGGCATGTGAAGCACAACCGCATCATTTTTACGTAAAATATTATATAGTCAAACATGTCATCTTGTTACATATTTTACTTCTTTTATTTATAGTTTGTACAATACATGACAAAATTCAATTTTACTCTCAGATGTTATGGTTATATTATTGTTGCAATTTTATTTTGGAAACAAAATAAATTTTCATTGTATTTCTAAGGAACTGCATATGTAACAGTACATAAATGTGAACTGTCGATCTCGACAAATGTGCTCTGATTTTCTCTACAATTTGTCGTACGTGTGCACGCAACAAACCTCAAACAAAATAACAATTAATCGGAGGCACAAAATACGAACTTACATACAAAACATACTAGACAAAAGATAATTTCAACATATGCGTACTAGTTGTGAAACATATTTTGACCACTTCATGCATCTTCGACATTAGAGATCTCACTTCCATTGATATTTTCATCATCGTCGAAACTATTTCCAATGATCTTGGATGTTGGGAAGTTCGAAAAGTTCTCTTCATCACCAAACTCATTTTTATACGATGGCATATATGTGAACACACTGTGATTTTCTTCATTAAGTAACGGAGAGGTTGGGCTGGACACATTGCTTAAGTTTGGAAAAGGAAATGGTAACACGATTTTCCTACCCATTAGTAACACTACACCCTCATCGTCCGATTCTATAACAATGGGGAATAGTGGTGATGAACCAAGTACAAAGGGAGATTTATTCGTGTCCAATGACTCTATGTTACCATTTGATGGATCCATGAGTCGAACTTAAATGTTGAAGTAGAACCAAATGTCGATATATGAAATATACGAATTCTCTGTTATAGTAGACTCTTTAGTTGAATGAAACAAACCATATATATAAACTAATATTCTCAGTAAATATTCAACAACCACAATATAAATGTAGTTAATGCATGATTAACATTGGTAGATGTGTGAAGATATTTGATATCCACTTAATATATAAATTAACAGCTTCGTTAAGTGAATGAACGTCAAATACTTCTACTATTTGTTACTGCACAAATTGTTGTAGGCAATTAGGTATTCAAATTTTTTGAGGGGCAAAAAAGTCCTAAAGTGACATTTTTGTCAACATTATTAAAATGTGACATTTTTGTAAATGTCAATCCAAAAAGTGATATGGTGTGCAATTTCCTCGTCACATAATTAAGCATAAATTATCATGTTTCCACTTTCTCATAAATATGACTAGACTTTGGAGTGTGTTTGATTGCCTTGGAAAATATAATTCTGAAAAGAACATATTTTATTTGTTTTGAGAAAAATAAAAACATATTCGCCCCAAATAAAATATTTCCTTAAAAATAAGGAAAATTAGGCATATCTTCAAAAGTTGAAAAATATTTACAATGGAAAAAATAGCAATCAAATACACCCTTCAAGAAAAATTAGAATATTGAACTGGAAAAAAATGAGTGTTAGAATAGCTTCATAACTTGGACTTTGGACATTGCATGGCAGTTCTACGTACGTAAACAATTCTCAATGTCGAACTATTTGGAGTTAAAATTGCAACTATCGAGATTAACTTTTTTTTAATCACGTTTGCAAGTCGCTATTTTAAGCTAATGTCAGCGTGTTGAGTTTCAAGAATTGACGGGAGAAATTTGAGTAGAATGAGATCAATAAAATAAATTTAATTTGATGAGGTAAATTTACATATGATTTTACCAATAAAATACAAGAGAAAATTGTAGCAGCGGTCCCAAACCTTTTCAATTTTTGTAGATTTTACCATAACCTTCATTTTGTGCCAATAAATGCCCCTAACCTTCCATAAATATGCAGTCGAAGTCCAGATGGATGGAATCCATCCATTTGACCGTTATTTCACCAAAAAAATTAATTTTGATCAAATTTGGTAAGGACAAAATGGTAACTTAGTTAATTTCATATTATAAAATACCAAACAAAATAAAATAAAAAACTCATCTTACACTCTCCACCCTGTCCGACCCCCCCAAATAAAAATTGCCACTCTTCTTTTTTCCCAGCAAGACCTATAGGAAACAGTCACTATCGCCACCACAATGTCCCTCGCCACCACCCACTACCAGTTCCAACAACCTCTACCACCACCATACTCG